ATTTTGATTATGATTTTGTACGAGTTGAATGCCCGTGATATTTTTAGTTCTTTTTGCATCCTACCTCTTAAACTTTAGGTGCTTAAATTTTTTTTGCTAATATTGTCTACTTACCTTTGTCATATTATGGGGAGTAGTGTGACATTGAGGGTGCTGAAGTTGGTACTACAGCTAAAGGGGAGAGTTCATAATTCTTTGTTAAGATAACAAGTGTTGAGGGGGAGTACCTGTTGTTCTGGATTAGGGTGCTTTGAAGATATGCCAGACATGATGTCTTGATATCATGGCATTGAGAACTTAGGTTCTCTATTTGTGCTTGTAGTTGTGTCTCTGATTTTTTTATTGCTTCTAAATTTGCTAATGTGTTTTCCGCTGATGTACATCTGATGTGTGTGTTTGATTTATTTTCAAACATATTTTATGGTGTTCTTTGTGCAAGGGTTATTTGGTTGTTTATCCAAAATGTGCCAAATAGGGAGATTGTTATTTCTCTAAAATTATGATTGGCATACATTTTGGTAAAACCAAACTTGGCAACAACATGTTGAACAAGATATCCCAACTTGTAGTTTTCAACATATCGAATAAGATGTCCCAACTAGGCGGATAGGACATCACGTCTAAAACAACTGATAGTTATATTTCACCTGATATGTTAGTTACTGAATATTTAGGGAATATTTAGTTATCTTATGTGGCATCTAAGATTGACAAATCAGAGATTCTATGTTGGTTTTCAAAGAAATAAAAAGTTTCTAAATACGATACATTTTATAAAACTAATGATTGAAGACCTACTTTCTTGGAGAAGAATTTTTTGATTTTGTGCAGCCTCACTACTACATTTTTGAAGCCCAACCCATTCCAGAATAATGTTATAAATAGACTCATGTATACCTAGTTTTAGGTGGAACTTACGTGTGTGTTTTGTTAGGGTTTTTAGAATCCTTATTGTTGGGTTGTAAGTTATGTCAGATGTTCATAATCTTTTAAGCATCGAACATTTCTGTGTCAGATGGTTATAAGCTTTTAAACATTGAGTATTTATGTGCCAGTTCTCATAAGCTTTTAAGCATTGAAGATTCTGTGTCTTGGAAGAGTGACTTCCTGTTTTTGTTCTCGATTGTGTTTAGAGTTTCTCCAACCGCTGAGTGTGATTGAAGAGGGATTTGAAGAGGGCCTCATACCAAGGCGTGTTTTAGGTAGAAATTAAGTAAAGTGTAGTGATTAAGTGCGTAGATTGTAAATAGGTGTGTTTGTTATGTGGTCTATAAATTGATACTATCTAGTTGATTTCATCCCTGGCTTGGTAACCCTAGAGTAGGAGAGTTACTATAAACTGGGTAAACATATATGTGTGTTATATACCTTTAACACTGTTTATTTTGTTCATATATCTTATTGTTGCATGTTGAAGTCGGATCCAGTGTCTCGACATCACTTAGGACATCCGAGATCTGACGATAATAATTTCACACGGCTTTTCAGCTTGACGGCCAAGAGCACTTTACTTCAAATCTTTGATCTTATTTTATAGCCTTGAGAGGGAGATGTTGTAAGGATTTAAAAGACCTTGTCCTCAATCAAAGTTTACTTTCCAGCAGATATAATAAGGTGTAAGAGTTTGGACAGTACATAGTGATAGTATTCATTGTCTGTCACTTTACAATGTTTAACTTTAACCATATCTTAAATAGATGTTTTTATACTTAGCTTGTAGATATAAATCCGTTAAGGGTAGAAAGATAATATGGGAAACAGTTATTTGTTCTCAACGGTCATAATGAGAGTGGTTGACAATACAGTACGAAAGGACTGTCCTTACGCCATCCTAGAGGGTTAAGGTCACATAGAACTTTTTGTACCTTTTGTACACCATCACACGTTAACCATTTTGAACTTCTTCTAATCTTCAGAGGCTTCATGTAATTTGAATGTATGAAGCTTGTTGTAGAAGAATCACTCTTAAGTCTTAGAACCTAAGTCTTGGAGTCTTCAGAACTTGTCCCATTAGAATCTTATCTTCAGAGTCTTCAACACTTGGTCGTAAGAACTTATTTTTCTTCAGATCATCAGAACTTGTTCAACAGAACATCGTCTTCATAATCTTCAGAACTTAGAACACATATAAGCAAAGCTTTATAAGGCCTACAAAGCTTAACCACAAAGTCACGATCAGAACCTATTGTACTAACATTCCTAAAAAACGTTGCATAAGTCGAATTGCAAAATCTTGACTGCAATTGTAACACATAACCAAATTTTTTCTTCCAATAGTATTTATGTTCAGAACCTGATGACGTCATACGCCTTGATACCATATTTAGAACATTACAGCAGTAGCTGAAACAACCGGCTGAACAAATCATCGAGATGAAATCAATGAAGTCGCCATCGAACGTTTTTTATCCCACGGGAAGGGAAAGGTAAAATCGAGTAAACATGAAAAGGGTGAAATCACGATCAAACGACTGAGAGATCAGGTAAGGGAGTCTATTACGTGAGGGGAAGGTATTATCACCCCACACGCCTGTAGTACTCTATAATATCCACTCTTGTTGTTCTAATCAAAGGGTGTGTTCAAATCTAAACTTAATAGCTAAAAAGAAATTGCAAAGAGGGAATGCATGCAAAAGAAAAGAGAAAATAATGTAGGGAAAATAAAGTTGTGCTTGTTCGGGCCCTACACCAATGCCTACGTATCCCTTTTAAGGAATCAGAGCAGTCGTAGTTAGGCTCAAAAGTTTCTATTGGTTTGTATTTCTTAATGAACAATATTAATTTCACCTTCTGCCGCAACTCGACCTTTGGAGACTTGCGCATCAGCACAGACGTGAATTAACATGTTCTTTTTAAAAAGTTTGAAAGAAAGGCCCGAAGACGGGAAAAGTTTGTATTGGTTGATATTTTTTACCTTGAAAAAGGATTTGAAATTTTTTAGGTGTTTTATGATTTTCCAAGAAAAAAAGTTTGTCTTAATGCATGGATGCAAAAGAAAAGAAAAACATCTAAGGGAGACTAAACTAAATCTATCCCTAATATTATTATAAAATGATTGATCCTAAGGTTGAGCTCGAAAGCTACTCTAACCGAGTGATAAAGGAGCACGGTATAGAAAACAAATAAGCAAACAAATAAGAAAACAAGTACTTTGGCAAAAGCACACAAACATGAGTAGCACATACTGACTCAAATGGATAGGAGAAACAAGAGAAATGCTTTAGCTAAGGGGAGTAGATCACCCGAAGAAAACAAGTGGGAGACAGATGTAAAATAAAAATGTGATGTCCAAAGCGACTGAACACCTAACTAAGATATAGGAGATCGTGGTAGGCGACAAAAGGCAATATGAACAATCACGGAGTGTCAGCATCGGCCAATGCGAACTCCTGAAAAAGTGTGGGGGTTGGTTGCGAACCTTTCTCCATATGACTGACTCGATACACATGATTTATATAATTCTTAAGCATCGACGTACAACGTGAGCTAAGGATGACATGGACTAGAATGTGGGGGGGGGGGGGGGGTCGATTGTGAACCCTCTCTTCTCGCCTCCTTTTGAGGACTTCAATAAGGGGTGGGGGATTAGATGCGATCACAACTGTAAACACACGTGCAAAACACCTACTTTAAAGGTAGGATTTTAGACAAACACAAATAGCGTAAAAAAAGTGGTTCCTGCTACAGGACTTTAAACAGCAACTTCGAACGCACGCTCTTTATTTCCTACTTCTCATGATATCTATAAAGCAGCAACGTTCCTACTTCTCATGATATTTAGAAATCAGTAAAGTGTTGAAATGAGATAAACAAGACAAAATACCAAACGGATATCAATCTGTAGCAAAGCGTATCAAAACAAAGAAATCCGATGATATACGTGAAAGCTTCACCAATCAAAGAAAAGAGTCAAAAATCAAATGCTCGGAATAAGCATCGAAGCATCGTGGATGTGAAAATAAATCACAATTGGAAACTCAAGCATATTCACACGCCATACAATAAACCTGCATAAGACTCAAATCTCAACAAGAAAAGGTGAATTGCAAGTCTCGAGTAATCGGATAATCAAGAATTAATTCCTAAAAATCAAATAAAAAAATCTAACAAATTTTATTGATTTTATTATTTTTATCATGTAAAAAAAGTTCAAACAAATTTAAACAACTGACAAAATTATTTAAAAGAAATTACTAAAAGAGTGAACTCAAGGGGTGAAAGCCAATAATCTAGAGGCGTAGAAGAAATTTGGGCGCTAGCCCCAGCACCAACTGACCAAGAGCATGCTTTTTGTTCCAACTATCTCAAGTGTGCCAAAAACCAGTTGTTATGGGCTTTGGGGGGCACAAGCCAGAATCCAAAAGTGGATCATTAATCCAGGCGCTAGGCCCATTAACTATGGTCCATGAAGAGGTTTTTTCCAAGGCAATATTGTTGTGCCAAAAAACAAACACATGCCTTAAGATTTCGGCCCAACCGGTCTAATAGGTCTATTCCATATAAGTTCAATTGTTATTTTAAATTTGCACCAAATAAAATAAACACAATAAAGATAAAAAATGAAACGCAAGCGTTTGATTCAATGAGGTTAAGGTTAACTTGGTATGACTTTCAGTCTTCTCAAACGCGAAATCCCTCTTCTCTCAAGCGAAAAGATCTGCCTTACAACCTTCATCTTTGATGAGCATGCAACGGCCATCCGTGTCCGACACCGTTCTTCTTCCTTGCCTGTTTGATTTTAATACAGTGGCGTCGTTCCTCTCAAATTCGCTGTCGTCTCATCATCTCACCTTCGTCCTCTTGCAACAAGCTTGGATCTTCCTCTGAGTTCATCTTGAACAGGATCCCTAACGCACTCAATATGCCAGCAATTCAAGAGGCGATTTCTAGGGGATTTACTACTACCCTTCATCTTCTACCGATTCTCATCAAGAAAAGAAAAGAAATAGATAAACTAATGCGGAAACTTGGCGTTGCTTACCTAATGGAAGAACTGTCCGATGCATCTTCAAGAGAATGATGATGATAAGAAAAATCTGTATAAGCTCAGGTATACGTTAAGATTTCGTCAATTCTTCTCTGATTTCGTTTCTGTTATGCTTACCACTCAAGCATTCATCGTTATTGTTGTGTTTGCGAGGTTGTTATAGCATTGATGCAATGAAGATGCGAGATCGAGAGAAATCATAGCCTTGATGCGATGTCATTTGTTGCGATTTGCAATGATGAGGATGAAACGCGAAGTTGCGGCTTGGAGATGCAAAGCTGAGAGATGATGATGATTGTAGAGATTTGGAGGGTTACCGAGGAAGAGCAGAGAGAGATTGGAATCTTTTTTGTAGTGATTTTATTGGTGAGATATTAAAGGTGGTGAAGGTGGAGGTTGAAGGGGATAGATCAGAGAGTACAAAGATTTTTCTGTGGAGATTTTCTTGTGTGATTCTTCTTTAAGGTTGAATATGGAAGATGAAGATGAGAGGAGAAGAAATAGTATTTTTGGTGATTCTTCCAAAAATAGGAGAATGAACGTGATGGTGATGAAGAGTGAAGATTGGGAGAGGAAGGAGAGAGAATTTTGGAGAGTGGTCCTTCTATAGCATTGAAGAATGAAGATGAAGAAGGTAAGTTTCTACTTATATCTGTTAGAAAGTTGGTTAGAAATCTATGAATTTAGTTATGAGGTTAGGATTCTGTTAGAGTTAGTTAGGAGTTAGTTTGGATCACGTTTCTTTTTTTTTGTTAGAAGCTGGTTAAGCTGAGCTGGCGGCTCTGTTAGTTATAAACAGTTAGTTTTAGTTGGAATTTAGTTGAAATATGAAAATATGCTATGAGTTGTAAGGTGAACCTTTCCTGTCACGCTTCTGATAATTTCCCTTTTATTTTTTATTTAATTTTCCCCCTGTTTTTGTGCAGGTTATCTAAACTGGTTTAGTTATTTGGATTTCTGCAGGATAGATTTGGTTCTGGGTTTTGCTAATTTTCTTTGGATATTTTATTCTGCGAGTAGACATTAGCGTGTAGATATGATTTTGTGGTGATTGTAGTTAGTTTTCTGAATTGTCTTTTCGTATTAGCTTGGCTTGGATATTTGGTTTTAGTGAACTGTCTAAGTGTGTTCTCTTGATTTTTGATGGACCGATTAAAGGAATAACTTTGGTTTTGATTCATGTTAGGGCCATGGTTTTTTGTTGATATGAAGTTTGGTTTATATTCCAGTTTTCGAAAGATTTTGTTTATGATTCGACAAGTCAAAATCACTTGAATGGTGGTGATGCAAGAGCATATGATGGACACATGGGCAGCCATAAGAAATACATGTTTTGTGAATGACTTGTAAGGATATATGTATGTTTTATTTTTTAGGTTTAGTGGAATGTTGGTTTATGGCATTGAACTGAAATGGTGAGGCTATTTGGATTGTTGGTGATTAGCCTTCTGCAGATTATGGTTTTATTAGCATCCTGCAATATGTTTATGTGAAACTGGTTTTTATGGTTTTTTAGCTTGACAAGGCATGAAGAGGTCATATATTCAGTGGTTGTGGGGGGGGAACATTAGTAGCAACATGGTGGTTATGGTTTAAGACCTCGTGACAGAAATAGTTTTTATCTCTTGAGGCTTGATGAACATGGTATTAAAAATGACTTTTTGTGGATTTAAATAAGACATCTTCAAAACATCTTTCTAGGTTTTCAGTTTTTCTTTTAATTAAAATGGTATTTGGTGGAATGATGATATGATGAAGTCTGAGGTCATGATGCCTTAATCTTGTGAGTGAAACATTTGTCTTGTGAACTTAGCAATTTGCACTTGTAACTTATGATTCCAAGAAACACTTATGAATAAGGTTTCCAAACTTACATGAATCAAATTCTCGAAAACAAACCAAATTTTTTTAATTCCATTTGATTATCCTGTGAACACTTTACTTCAAGACTCAACGAATGAATTTCAACCAACTTGCATATTCAATAAATAAGTCTTGAACTTTAAGATATGACATAACATTCAATCAAATCAAGAATATTCATGCATGAACTTAGTCAAGAAAAAAAATTCTCCATATTGTCTTTGTCCAAAATCAAAGCCTTTATTTATATTCTTCTGACTCACTTAATGCTCCCTAGCATCATATCTTGTATTGTGCTTCAACTTTTGTAATTCAAATCACAAACATGTCCACTTAAAAATGTAAGGCTAAAATCCTTAAGAAATTCCTTTGAAGAAGATAATTCCTAATGCACAATATAAGGCTCTTTGAGAAAGTCCCTTGATTAAAAACAAACTCTAATCTCATGATCTTTGAGGAAAAACTCGATTGGAGCACAATTACTAAAAACCTGGCTTTGATCGCACATAGGAAAATAAACCATGATAGCCTCGTAGCTTGATGAAGAAAGAAATTCTCAATAATCCAGCTCACAACCCTAACTCCACTACTCAATGCTTGAATAAGAACACCTTAACCACTGTAAAACCCTAATATTGTGCGACCACTGAACTTTAAACCTTAGGCGCTTTATTGAATGAAATGTATGCCGTGTTAGTGACCTAAATCCTAATGAATGCAAAAGCCTAAGTCAATAAAAGAAATTAGGAGGGTAAATTTTGGGGTGCAACGATAGCTACACACTAGAACAAAACCATTAGAGTATACAATTGTTCTTTATGATCCCATGTAAATTTATCATCAAAATCTTACGACTAGATGTAGAAACACTTCTTGTTCTTACAAGGATCCCTTGTGTTCTTTATCTCCAAAGGACTTCTATTGGCTGTAATTACCTCTTGAATGTCTTACACAAAAACGCCTGAATCAATCAATGATCTTAGACGATAAACCCATAATTTTTCAAGATGAAGACTCCTACAAATCTCAACCCAATATCTTCTGCTACACAAGAACCTAATCGGACGTTACCAAACCTCGTCTAAATGACACCCCAACAAAAGATCGTTACAATGGAACGTTAACGTGTATAGGCTGGAGGTTGAAGATGAATAGCAAATGTAGGCTAATTTTATGGTATCATCAAGTTGTAAATAATGTGTGAGAGATGTATTTATAGTTGTGGAAAGTTAGGGCAAAAAGGACTTACTTGGAATTAAAAGAATTTACAAAATTGACCAAAACAATCCGTATGTGTCGACCTATATATCGTATGTGTCGACACATACGTTAATTTTAAGTTGTACATGTCAACCTGAAAGACTGTATGTGTCAACCCAACCAAGTTCGAGGCTACAAGTTTTAAAACAACAGTAAATGCGTCGACCTGAAAATTCTATGTGTCGACACATAAAAATACGAATTTCTACAATTTTTGAAATGCTTCAGTAGGTGTCTACCTGTACGATGTATGTGTCGACCTAACCAAATCAAAGGCTAAATGCTTATTTACTGAATTACATGTGTCGACCTGAAATGCAAATGTATCGACACATGCAATTCAATTTTGTGTGAAAACCACTTTTTAATGCATGAGTCAATTTTCAATATGATTCCAACATATCCTAAGACTTCTAAATGAAAAGGGTTCCACACTAAACTTAGAGATAATATCCAATTACTGAAATTCTAGGTTCTCGCATTTTTGACACCAATCAAAACAAATATGAAGGCAAGTTTCACTCACAGTAACCTCTAACTTAGCCTTGACAGCTTCTTTAACAACTACCATTTCCTCGGCCATATTCTCAGCAGCCGCACTAACTCCATGCGCCTTTTTGGAAACTTAACCAAATTAACCATATGCTTAGGTATAGAAGTATAGACCAGAGAGAATGGTGATTTCCCTGTATTTGAATGCACAATGTTGTTGTAAGCAAATTCGACCCGAGGCAAAACTATATTCCACTATTTCGGCTTGTCACCACAAACACTTCGAATCATATTTCCAATGTTTTGTTGGTTACCTCAGTCTGTCTATCTATTTAAGGATGAGTTGTAGAACTCCTATTCAGCGTGGTTCTAAATAATCTTCAAAGAGTAATCCAGAAATGGCTGAGAAATTTGGTGTCCCTGTATGAAGTAATTGATTTAGGAACCCCGTGAAGACGCATAACCTTCCTGAAAAACAATTTGGCTATGTTCGACACATCAACAGTCTTCTTACAAGAAATGAAGTGGTTCATCTTGGAGAATCTATATACTACAACAAACACATAATCTACACCTCTTTGTGTACAAGGCAAGCCCAACACAAACCATGGCTAAATCTTGCAAAATATTACCAGGAATAGGTAAAGGCATATAAAGACCAGTATTTTGAGACTGAACCTTAGAAACCTAACAAGTATAACACCTCTTGCCTATAGTACCAGTATCCCTCCTCAATTATGGCCAATAATATCTCTCCTACAGACTAGCAATAGTCTTGTCTCTACCCAGATGACCGCTAAGACCATCATCATGCATGACTCAAATTAACTTCTCTCTTAAAGAGGAGAAAGGAATACATAGTCCATCCCCTTTAAAAAGATAGCCATCTCGACTATGAAAATCTGTACAAGGATGTTTTTCACTACACTTGGCCCATAACTCCTTGAACTCAACATCACTTTCATATAACTTTTTCAGGAAATCAAAACCTATTATCTCTTGCGCTAAGGTAATTATCAAGAAAGACCTCCTACTCAATGCATTTTCTACCTTTCTAAGAGTCCCGAACTTATGCTGCATAATAAAAGGAAATTTATATAGAAAACTCACCCACCGAGCATGCATCTTATTTATTACCTTCTAGCTATGAAGAAACTTCAAAGCTTGATGGTCATTTAATAGAATGAACTCCCTTTGAACCAAATAATGTTTCCACTGGCGTAGAGCTCTAAAGACTGCATAGAATTATAAGTACTCAATTTCTTGTGAGCATCGCTTAATTTTTCATTGAAAAAGGCAACTGGTTTCTTCTCTTGAGACAACACAACTCCTATTCCCACTCCCATAGAATCACATTCAACTTGGAATACCTTTTCAAAATTGGGAAGTGCTAATACCGGTGCGGTACATAACTTCTCCTTAATTAGTGCAAAACTATGCTTTTGCTCAAACCCCCAATAGAACTTCCCTTTCTTCAAACGTTGAGTAATATGCGCAACGATAATACTGAAATCTTTGATAAACCACCTGTAGAAGATGGCCAAACCATGAAAGTTACGAACCTCTGTCACAAATTTATATGCAGGACACTCCCTTATATCACTCACCTTATCTTCATCAACTTGAATCCCTTCTTCACCAACAACAAAGCCGAGAAAAAGTAATTTGTTGGTGTTGAATGTACATTTTTTTCAGATTCATGTACAACTGGTTCTCCTGTAAGACTTGCAACACTTTCCTCATATGGTGCAAATGTTCTTTCTTTATCTTACTACAAATCAGAATATCATCAAAATAAACCACCACAAAAGAACTAGTAAACAGACGTAGAACCTGATTCATCAACGGCTTGAAGGTGCAATGGGCGTTTGACAAACCAAAGGGCATCACCAACCACTCATAAAATCCATATTTTATCATGAAAAAGTTATTTTCCATTCATCTCCATGTTTGATTCTAATCTGATGATATCCACTACATAAATCTATCTTCGAG